GTTCCAAAAAAATATTAAGCAGCACAACAGTTTCCAGCACTGATAATAAATCAGCATATTAGAATGATTTCTGAAGGATCATGTGACACTGAAGACTGATGCTGAAAATTCAGCTTTGCATCACAGGAAAAAAATTATATTTTAATGTATATTAAAATAGAAAAACTTTATTTTACATCATAATAATATTTCACAATATTAGATTTTTTCCTGTATTTTTGATCAAATAAATGCAGCTTTGATGGGCATAAGAAACTCCTGTAAAAACGTTAAAAATAATTCTGATCCCAAACTTTTGAACGGTAGTGTATATGTATATTTCCATTCCAAGAAAAAAAACAATAGAGTTAAAAATAGATCACAAAATTTCTCTTAAAGTGAAAAGACGTTAAATTGCATTTCAGTTTCTGTAGTGGCATCCTCTGTAATTTTTAATTTTTTTTATGAACTCAACACATACCGAAACATCATCACCATTTCGTTTTACGCTACCACAGAAACCATGCTGCACTCAATCTGGGTTGGATCACTATGGTAACCCTCCAGCTGACGAGGAAGTGCTCTATTAAAACGAATAGAGTGAAACCCATCCACTTCCTGAAGCTAAAATTAGAATTTGTTTGTCTGATTGTCTGATTTAGGGGTGATTTATGTAAGTATGGTATGCTATTCTCATTTTACAATTTGCCTGACCTATATTTGGTTTAAATGGTTCTTGGGAAACATTTCAGCCAAAGCACAACAAACTCATTTACCCAAAGCAGAAAAGCATCAAATGACAGAAAGATCTAACTTCCAAAAGTTCTGGGGCTTAAAAACTATTATTTATCCATCCTTTAAAATGTAATGAATAAAACCAGTGGAAAGACTAAAAAGTGCAAAACTCACACTTTTAGTCTTTCAAGCATTTGTGAAGTCACACTATATACACAAACAGCAGGCTGATGTGCTTATAGATATATATTTTTGTTTGTCATGATGAAAAACTTACAAACCAAAAAAAATGTAGGCTACACAAAAAGTCTCTGTTTTCAAACTGACCGATAGTTAAATCCAATAAGGAATGCTACATTACACTTCTATCATTATTAAGTTATATGAATACATGTCATGGCATTTGATCTCCAAAACTACTATAATATTAGAGTAAACGTAATGTGGCAGTTTTTTTAAACTCTAATTTCAAAGCTCTATATGGTAACTGAACAAAGCAAACAACGTTTAAAACACACGAGGATCTCTTACCTGTCACGTCTGTATAGCTTTTCCACCTCTAAAAGGTTTCCAGGCTTCGAATGCTCATCTGAAAAGGACAAACCACATGCATTTGCACTCTCAGGCTGTCCACATCACAAAATTAACAGCAGAACACATCTGAAGCACCTGCAGATAACACCGGCCCTGCACTACAGCGAACTCCAAAGGTGTGATTATGTTGGGTGACATCTAGCTACATTTAGGCTCACGCTGCCCTCTCTGAAGCCCCTCCTGCTGAGCTTCCTCTCCTCGCACTACAACTGTTGTTTGCTTCTCTCTACTAATAAATTCATCAATGATTTCATTAGGAATCCCTAAGCAGGGCCACATTAAGACCTCACTGGGCCCCGGGGCTATGACTTACTGCAGGGCCCCCCATCACAATGATGATATATATATATATATATATAGCTTAAAGTAGGATTTTTATCCAATCAAAATTTTTGATGCATTGCAATTTCATAATTCATGTTACCAATTCCAATATCACAAAATCAAAATAAAAAAATACTAGCCTACGTAAAAACAAACTTACTGAAGACAAGTAAACAGTCATGAATTACAATAGAACAAAGAAATTGACCTACAAACACTTAAAGCACTGATTAAGAAATATTATATTATATAAAATAAATAGACTACAAATAGACTGAATAGTCTTCGCGGTATAAATTCAATATACATTATTTTACAAAAGCGATTCGGTCAAGGACAGTGTGTGATTTTCTTTCTAATGTTTAATTTACATTATTGACACAAATGGCAACAGCAGCTATATTAGGCTGCTTTGGAGGAATAGTTCACCCAAAAAATTAAAGTTCCCTTTCGATACTTCACTTCGTACTGCGTCGCTAGACGATTTACTGAAGCCTTTTTTTCAATCACAGCAGTGCATCTGCACTGCCATTGTTTCAGAAATGAACCAATGACGGCGCAGCAGAGCTGCGCGAGCCTATGGCGAAGCAGCGCGCCCGAGCCCGAGCCCACCAAAATGGGCGGGGCATCTGGCTATATAAGCAGGTGCTCGGCATAGGATCACTGATTCTTTCTCCTTCAGCGACGACATCTATTGCTCTTCTACGAGTATACGAGATTTGAAGCCTTCGCCGGCAAGCTGATCCAGCTGCCGTTCTGCAGCAGCAAGATCAGCTCCCCGCCTCTGCTCTCTGCTCACCGCTTGCAGCTCGCCGTCCACACCAGCGCCCCTCTGCCATCGCGAGTGACCTGGTTTCGTTTGGGGGATCGGATGGCAAGCCGCTTGATGACAGCATGTCCCTAGCGGCCTTGGATGCTGAGGATTGGTCGGGCTCCATTGCTGACCCCGCCCCCTTGCCGTCCGCGGAGCCAATCGACGCCAGGTTTGGTACGGACACCGAGCTCATCCGTGTCCTATCAAAAGCCGTCGAGGAGCTCGGATTGGAGTGGTCTTCGCCTGAAGAGCCCACTCGCAGCCGCCTAGACGAGTGGTTTCTGCCGGGACGCCGCCAGACCCCTCCTCAGCGAGCTGCGCCCTTCTTCCCAGAGGTTCACGACGAGCTGACGAAGT